TATCCGAGCTTATTGAGTTCCTACGAGCTTTAGTACGTTTGCGACTTATGGCACCTGCGTTCCGTATTTCTACGGCGCAGATTTTGCAAATTCTATATGGATTTGCTAAGGGCCCATTGGCAATACATTCTGGTGATACACTTGATGCTTTTCATGAACATGTATTAGCTTTCTTTATTCCGCCCCGTACAATGTTCCCATTGTTGAACGCTGACTATTACCGATGGCAAAGGAAGGATGAGCCGCTCGCTGTCTATGTTGCAGACATTAAAGAGATAGCCGCCGTTTTTCGTCAGGATATCGATCAGTCCGCTGTGGTCCGCAATATTCTTGATGGATTGCATCCATATCAGAGGAGCTGTTTAGTGTTCAGTGACAAGCCGCATAGTTATGCCGATTTGGATAATATGTGCGTGTATGCTCATAATGTTGAGAGTAAGGGTTATAATGTAGGTAATGACCTTCCTACACACCCTGTAGCGTCTAACTCTGCTCGATCGGGTCGTTCTGGCAATCCAGTATCTCGAGCTGCCTCAGTAGTCTGTTTTCGTTGTAAGAAAGCAGGACATACTCGTCGGGACTGTCGTATGAATCTACAATCTACTCTTACATTTACGTCTCGGGGGCATCCCCCCGATTCTTGACTAACACGAGATACGTCTCGCGCTCCCCTACGTAACGGTCCTTTTGCGAGCATTAATCCCCGTAGTGTCCATATCCACATGATGGGAATAAAAGGAGTCATTCCCCATCCGTTGCCTACTCTGCATGTTGAATTAGGTTTTGGCCTGTTACCGGCTTTGTTAGATTCCGGTGCTGTTCGTAGCCTGATGTCGGGTTCTGCTTACGAAAGGCTTAAACAAGCCGTCCCGTTTGTTCAGGTAACTTCTGTTAAAGTAAATTGTGTTACTGCGGCTAGGCAGTCATTTCCGGTTTACACTGCTGTTACGTGTAAAGTCAGGATAGACAGATACACGTGGAAATTCATGTTCTACGTAGTGGAGAATTTAGCTTACCCAGTTATTTTGGGATCCGATTTCTTGGGTAAGACTGGCTTACTAATGGACATTTGTGAAGGTTTTGCTTACTTTAAATTTGACCCGGCTAATAAGTTGCCGTTGATTCGGCGTCATGTTGAAACGCATGTGCCCAGAATTTGTACATCTGTGGAAACTGGTCCAGATTTGTCCCATCTCGCTCCCCCATTGTCGGACTCGCTTTCACAGCTGACTAATCAATTTACTGATGTGTTAACTCCTAAACTAGGTCTTACCACTCTCTTGGAATATGACATCGAGTTGCTTGACCAATCTCCGGTCAAGCTCGCCCCTTATAGGCTTATGCCTCCTAAGATGAAAGTGCTGCGAAGCCATATTCAGCGTATGTTGGAACAAGGCATTATCCGTCCCTCCACATCTGCATATTCTAGCCCTATATTTCTAGTACCTAAAGGCGAGGGCGAATTTCGTCCTGTGGTTGATTACCGCGCACTCAACAAGAAGATTAAGATTGAGTCAGTTCCCTTGCCAGATGTTCATTCCTGCTTCCATTGGTTCAAGTCAGCTAAAGTGTTTACTTCGCTGGATCTCAACTCTGCGTACCATCAAATTTCATTGACCGAGCGATCGAAGCCTCTCACGGCGTTCACGACTTCGCGACTGACTGGAACTTGTATGAGTATACTAGGGTTCCCTTTGGCATAGCAACAGGCGCTCAAGTTCTTACGCGCTTGTTGGATCAAGTGTTCTCTGATATCAAATTTAAATATGTCTTCCATTATTTGGATGACTTGGTGATCTATAGTGATTCTTTTGACGAGCATCTCCACCATTTGCGTGAAGTCTTTACCAGGCTGCGCAAGGCCGGATTGACCGTAAATCCTACTAAGGTTAAATTTGCCACTACTCAGTTGTCATTCCTGGGTCACATCATTGCCCCTTCAGGTGTCTCTGTGGACCCTGATAGGACGAAGTCTATTAAGGATTTCTCACCTCCGCGTGATGTTAAAGGAATCGCGCGATTCATAGGAATAGTAAATTTTTTTCATAAGTTCATTCCACACTTTGCCGAACGCGCCGCCCCTCTTAATCTCCTTCGTAAGAAGGATACTCCATTTGTTTGGGGGTTGGAACAGCAACAGGCGTTTCAGGATTTGAAACTTGCTATCACCAATCCTCCGGTTCTACGCATGGCCGATTTCTCTCGTAGGTTTATCCTACAGACTGATGCCAGTTCCCTTGCGGTTGCTGCAGTTCTATTGCAGGAGTATGAGGGGGAACGCCAACCAATAGCGTTCGCTTCCCGGACGTTGTCTCTACAGGAAAGGAAGTTTTCAGCGTATGAGTTAGAATGTCTTGCCGTGCTTTTTGGTCTGGAAAAATTTCGCCCATATCTGGAACACGTCGAGTTTGATTTAGAGACTGACAATCAAGCTCTTACGTGGTGCCTCTCACATCCACGTCAATTAGGAAGAATAGGTCGTTGGGTCATACGACTGTCATCATTTAAGTTTCAGGCTCACCACATTCGTGGCACACAGAATGTTATTGCCGATGCCCTGTCACGCATGTATGATGACCAAGCTGAACTTGTAGTTGCACCGGTTCTTCTTGAGTTTCCTATCCTATTCGAAGATATCGGTATTCATCAGCGCTCTGATCCAGAATTAAATGCCATTATAGAGCGGCTGGGTTCAGAAGAAGTTCCCGGTTATTCGTTAAAGAAGGGTGTCCTTCACTGCAAGGCGCGTTATGACCGGCAGCCTAAGATAGTAGTTCCACAGGTTCTTGTACCCTCTCTCTACGGCTATTTTCACGAGTCTCCTCTCGGCGGTCATTTAGGTGTGCGTAAGACTATTCACAAAATCCGCCAGTCCTTTATTTGGAAGGGCATGGATTCTGACATTGCTTCTCGAGTCAGAGCTTGTAGACTCTGTGGGCTTAGTAAGCCCGCGCTGAATACGCATTACGGCATGTTGTCCTCGGACGTAGCTACTCGCCCCATGGAAAAGTTGTTTATTGATTTCGTTGGCAAATTTCCTCGGTCGAGAGCAGGGAACACGTATGCCCTTGTCTGCGTTGACGCTTTCACCAAGTTTAGTTGGATTTTCCCCGTGAGGGAAGCGTCTACTGCAACGACAACACGGGCGTTGCATTCTATTTTTGCAGTGTTTGGTGTTCCGGAGGTTTTGGTCTCTGATAATGCGGCTCAGTTCACATCACGCGAGTTTCGGCGGATGTGTTTTGCCCGAGGCATTCGTCACGTGACCACTACGCCGTATTATCCTCAACCTTCTCATGCTGAGCGTTTTAATAGGAATCTTCGCGCGGCTTTGATTGCCTACCACCATCGTGACCATTCGCGGTGGGATGAGAACTTGTCATGGCTCCAGTTTGCTTTCAACTCAGCGCGACATGATTCGCACAAAGTCTCACCTTATAGCCTGATGTTTACTTTCACACCCAACTCTCCGTTGTCGAATTTGTGGTCCCTTAAAGACCTGTTACCTGACCACTGTGACGCGAACTCTATTCGCGAACGTTGGGACGCAGCACGGCGGAATTTACGTCTAGCGCACGAGGTTGTGCGAACTAGATATGATAGTACCCGTAAACCCGTTCCCTTTCGTACCGGAGACCTAGTTTGGCTCCGTAACTTTCCCGTTAGCAAGGCGGAACGGAAATTGTCAGCTAAATTCAGCCCAAGGTATAGGGGGCCTTTTCGCATTGCAGAGTTCACCACCCCAGTTTCTGTTCGCCTGGTTGACGAGTTGGGAAGGTTTAAGTCCCGCGCTCATGTATCTCAGTTAAATGGGCGTGATCAGCGCATTGGTGGTACTATGGACATACGCATGGATGGTGGATGCGCAGTGGAAGCGTGCTGGGCGGGGGTCGACTACCGACGCCACCTGGGAGGTGTAGCGTCGTTCTCCTGTATCGTCGGCTGCGCCCTTTGTGCGGGCTGGTGTTTTGCGTGAGGCCCTGAGTGTTACACCCGTAAGGCTGGTGAGAGACTTGTCTCCAGAACTTATGGCGGGTGAGATCAGTGAGCCAGTGTTTGTACGACCCGCCCTACGAAGTTTCCCATGCGGTGTGCGCCTGCCCGAGGGAGGCCAGGTTCGCGATATATACCTGTGGACGCTGAGACCTTTGGTGGTCACACGCTTATACCAGACAGTGATACCTGCCGGGGGGGCTCATTTCGGGGGGGGGGCTGTGACGTCGGCTCCTGTCCGTGGTCTGTGTGCGCACTTCTCCCCTCTACTTTCTCTACTGTCCCCCTCTCTCCTTCCCCTTCTGAGCCGACTTAGCGGCCTAACGAGTGGAGCTAAGGGCTCTTGGCTTTCCAACCGTTGATGGGGTAGGTTGTTCTCGTTTCGGACCACCGGTCAAGGTCATCCTCGACCGTCCAAATTAATTTCTATCTTAGAACAGCGAACTCTGCAATCATTCTGATACAGGTATTTACATTATGTTTGTATTCTTTCTTTATTAATATATTATATTTATTCTTTGTTAATATTTGATTTGGCTATTTCTGTTTGGGTATTTCCACCTTGCTGATTTCTTTGTCCTCCCCTGCTCACCCTGTCCTGTGATCACTCGAACCTATATGCAACCTGAAGGATCCTCTGTAGGGTAACTACGCTTCACCTCACTGTATTATATGTACCAAAGAAGCGTAAAATGTGGTATCCAAAGACCCCTTCCATTCTCGTGTTTATTTTAAAATGGAAAGTGCAAGTACAACTTAAGATGTGTCATTAATTCTTACCCATAAAGCCAGAAAAGTTACTCTTACTACATACAATAAATTTTGTTTCATAATTACATTACTGTTTAACATTAAGCAAATCTCTCATTAAGACAGCCATTTTATAATTTTCATAACAATCTAGTATACAGCTTGCATATTGCCTTTAGTTATGTCACTGATGGAAACCTAATAGTGAGAAACCTGTAATTGTAGCAGCACACTGTAATAACTCTCCTTAAACTCACAGAGTTAAGCACTGTCTCCTTGTTGGCGAGTTCCGAGCGGTGTTTAGCCAACAAGTCCTTGTGCTCCAGCTCCTTCATTGTCTTCTCCTTCTCGAGGTCTGCTACCGTCTCTTCAGCAATAGAGCGTGCCAGGGCTTCACTATCAGCCCGTGCAAGTGCAATCTGCAGCTGGTGTGCTAGAGAGCCTCGTTCTTCCTCCAGTTCCTGAATGGCCCTTATCTTCTCATCCAGTTCTTCTTGCATATCCTGGGCCTGTGTCTTGTACAATGTCTGAAAGTATAAACATGCAATTTAATGCTTACCATTTAAGCTACAAGCATTTGCATTACAAATTTAACCATCTACATCTGGCTTGCTGGAAAAGAACACCAGAGTCGTGGCATTCAAAACTGCAACTTACACTCCCATGACATGAAAAAGTCTGGAATTTCTAGCACTTAGTCCCTCAGTGGTTTGACTAAATATGTTTACAAAAATGTTTGACATATATCATATTCCATATTTATTTGCATAATGTCCCCAAATTTGTCAACACTTTCAACACTTACAATAAAGGAGAGGACAATACAAGGTGGTACTGGAAAGTTCCTGAACTGTGAATGTTGTAACTGATTCAGTGAAAGATGATGAGAGGGACAGCCAAGGTAACACTTCCTCAAGCCTAATGCACCAGTATTCCACATGACACAGTGCTGTGAACACGCACTGTTTTTGCACTTCTCATTTCGTTTTGTCTGTCACAGATGGCAAAACTGAGCAATATGTCTGCATCAAGTTTTGTGTGAAGCTCAGTAAATCCACTACTGAAACCCTTAAAATGCTTCACGAAGCTTTTGGAGAATATTCTTTAAGCTGGACAGCGGTTTCTGAATGGCGTTCACGTTTCAAGGCCAGTCGAGTGTCAGTTAAAGATGACAAACGTTCAGGGCAACCAAGCACCAGCAAAATGACAGAAAATGTTGAAAAAGTTCAAGAACTCATCAATGAAGACCACAGCCAAACAGGCCATGAGCTCACAGACACCACTGGGATCAGTTATGGAGTTTGCCACAAGACCTTAATGAACATGCGTTACACTGCTCCGTCATGACTACACACTCATCCACATGTCCCTGAAAACCAGAGTCTGTGACTGACAACAACATGAAAGCAGTCTTCTGGGATTTGGCACCGTGTATATGNGAGAAATAAAGCAAAATCACAAGGGGCTAAGTCCAGCGAGTAGGGAAGATGGGGAATGATAACCATGTTGTTGTCTTTCACGGCGGTGACTATGAAGAAAGCAGTCTTCTGGGATTTGGCACCGTGTATATGTGGTGTTAACACCACATATACACGGTGCCAAATCCCAGAAGACTGCTTTCTTCATAGTCACCGCCGTGAAAGACAACAACATGGTTATCATTCCCCATCTTCCCTACTCGCTGGACTTAGCCCCTTGTGATTTTGCTTTATTTCTCAAATTGAAAATGAAACTCAAAAAACAAAATTTTGAAACAGTGTCTGATATCCAAAGAGAATCACAAGTGGTACTCGACAGCATTAACTAGAATGACATTCACGGTACTCTTGAGTGTGGAAAAATGATGGGATCGCTGTATATGTTCCCAAGGAGACTATTTTGAAGTATATGGCAGCCAAAATTGAGTAAGTTAAGCCAGCATTTATTTTTTGACATAGTGCGGGAACTTTCTGATAGCATCTCATAGGCTGCATAGATTGCTCAGATAGCGAATGAAGAAACATATGGAAAACTATTTGTGGATACCTCTTGGAACATGGCCAATTGGAGGACTTAGAAGTAGATGGAGGTATATTACAATGAATCAGAGAAACAGGTTTTGAGAATGTGGAATGGATTGAACTGATACAGGATCATGCACAATGGTGGGCCCTGATATCTGAAGTGGCAAAACTTAAGAGTTTTATTACCAGAGTCAGTTTCATTTCACAATAAACATAAACCATAATGGTCGTTAAAAACTCCTGCTTTGCATTAAGAACAGTTCAAATATCAAGAAGCATAAACATTTCACATAGAGGATTCAGGGTTTTCTTCAGAACCTCTACTGATGTTCTGGAAATACATGGGTTCCATCTAAACAGTGAGTACCTCACGCAAAGCAGAATTGCTATCCACTAGCCCATGTCACAGGAAGATCAATAATCACATTAAGAAATTACTTCAGTACTTCACACAAGAATTAACTGCAGTTCTTGACAATGTAGCTACTCCAGTTCTCATTCAAACCCACCATCCACCACCATGTGTCAACATGCAAGCATCATACAGGTATGGCACAGTTGGCACATCTTCATTGGTTGCATCCTGTTTTGTGTGTCAGTGTGGAAATGTACTTTTATATGGGCACATGGCAGAGTTAGATTTTCCCCGCGGCATGTTCTATTGAAGCAGATATTTGCGTTGCAATTCAATAACTCAAATTTCATTTTCATAAATTTGTATATGCTTAATGCATGACTCGCATGAATTATCTTTATTGGTTGCATCCTGTTGTGTTTTTCAATGACTATATGTATTCCTGTGTATAACTGCCTGATGATGGTCTTATACAATCAAAACATGTAGCAGCAATAAAGATCAAAATTAAAAATGAATATTTGTTGTGTTGATGGTGACATAATTTATATATATATATATATATATATATACTAGTTGTACCCGGCCAAGCGTTGCTGTGGCAGATCAAGTGAATTCAAAAATTCTGTTGGATAATTAACGGCTTCATCTGCTTCCACAACAGTGTCGACGGACTTGTATGT